ATATTTTTCAAAGAGGAATTCTGCTAAACAATTTGCTCGGGACGAAAATAAATATTTTTTACGATTATGGATAGCATTAGGTGATTCTTCCTGATCCGTTTCATCCGAATCGCTGGAAATAACAACAAATGTTTTTAAAAATAAACAAAATAATAAATACAATGAAGACTTCATTACTTTCTGTAATTAGTATTATAAAATTATTTAAAGTGACATATTTATTAGTATTTTATTATATAAATCCGCTGAAAAGTGAATAAAAGCAGTTAGGCCTTCTCATTTTGAATGCGATGAATGGGCGGGCAATTCACTGAAAAATTAATTAGTTTTTAAGAAAAATTTTTAAATAAAAACGAGGGCTAAAAGTTAAATTATAATATCGAGATTATAGCCTCGATTTTTCTGAAAAAAAGTCGTCAATTTTTTAAATGTATGAAAAAATCAAAGGCCGTGTGAAAGTCTTTTTTATTGTTAAAACGCGTAAATAATTTTTCAAATTTAATTAAATAAATTTAAAAAAGTTAAGCTATATTATCTCGCACTAGTACGAGTACAAAAATACGAGTACGAATTTCGGTACGATCTTCAAAACACTGATTAAGATTACTGCAGGTTAAAGAATTCAACAATGACAAAATTTGATTAGTTTAGCCATAGTTAATTCTAATGGAAAATTATTCTTTTATATTACCAGACTTTATTAATCTCGAAATTCTCGCTTTTCTTTTAATTATATCCCGATTTTATCGTAAAGAAATCAAATTAAATATTTTGTCAAATCAATTAAATATCTTGTGAGTAGATATCATGTGAGGTCGCAAAAAGGCCTTGTGATAGATATTATGTGAGGCCCCAAATGCATTGTGATAGATATTATGTGAGGCCCGAAGGCCTTGTGAGTAGATATCATGTGAGGCCCCCAAAGGCCCTGTGATAGATATTATGTGAGGCCCCAAAGGCGTTGTGATAGATATTATGTGAGGCCCCCAAAGGCGTTGTGATAGATATTATGTGAGGCCCCCAAAGGCCTTGTGAGCAGATATCATGTGAGGCCCCCAAAAAACTTGTGAGTAGATATCATGTGAGGCCCCCAAATGCCTTGTGAGTAGATATCATGTGAGGCCCCCAAAGGCCCTGTGATAGATATTATGTGAGGCCCCAAAGGCGTTGTGATAGATATTATGTGAGGCCCCCAAAGGCCTTGTGATAGATATTATGTGAGGCCCCAAAGGCGTTGTGATAGATATTATGTGAGGCCCCCAAAGGCCTTGCGAGTAGATATCATGTGAGGCACCCAAAGGCCCTGTGATAGATATTATGTGAGGCCCCAAAGGCGTTGTGATAGATATTATGTGAGGCCCCCAAAGGCCTTGTGAGTAGATATCATGTGAGGCCCCCAAAGGCCCTGTGATAGATATTATTTGAGGCCCCTAAAGACCTTGTGAGTAAATATCATGTGAGGCCCCCAAAGGCCCTGTTATAGATATTATGTGAGGCCCCAAAGGCGTTGTGATAGATATTATGTGAGGCCCCCAAAGGCCCTGTGATAGATATTATGTGAGGCCCCAAAAGCGTTGTGATAGATATTATGTGAGGCCCCCAAAGGCCTTGTGATAGATATTATGTGAGGCCGCCAAAGGCCTTGTGATAGATATTATGTGTGGCCCCAAAGGCGTTGTGATATATATTATGTGAGGCCCCCAAAGGCCTTGTGATTAGATATCATGTGAGGCCCCCAAAGGCCCTGTGATAGTGAGGCCCCAAAGGCCTTGTGATAAATCAGGGTTTCGATATCTGCGGATTTTTCCTTATTTTGTGGTTTTTTGATAGGGCGATTGACTGACCATTTTTTAATACTTTGAGGAACGAAAAAGGAGGGGGGGGGGGCGAAAACCGAAGAATTACCAAAAATTTTCGCCTGTGGCGCTGCAAATGGTAGAAATAATGATTTAACACATCTTCCGCGGCAAAAATGCAAGTGTAAATTCTCAGATAATTGTCGGATTTTCATACTAACATGATCATGAATAACTGGAATAGCTTGCTTTATGAAAATTTCGACTTGACTTTAGAAATATCCCTTCTGAAATTCCAGAATTTTTGCTTGAGGAGCTAGAAGAGGATGAATTCAAGCTTCTGGTTATAATCTTACTTCTTTCACTCATACGTCTTAAAAATTTTGCGTTTTGGCGTCATTTTTGGAATCTTTTGCGTTCTGACTTTTGGCGTGTTTTAAGAATTTGAAAAAATTGCCGTTATGCGTTTGGCGCGCCATGAAAAAATTTTGGCACACGGCTTTGATTTCAATGGATATAAGTGAATATGGAGGGATTTGTGTCTGATATCAAGTGATCAAATATAATCAAACCATACTGACCTGTTTATAAGTTCACTATAATACCCTCGGTTCTAAGCCTTGGTCAATTTGGATTTAAATATAGTTTTATCCAAGGGGTTAAAATATTATAGTTATAAGTTATAGTTAGAAGTTAATAATATAGTTAGAAGTAAGTTCAATATGAGACAAAATAAATAAGAATGTGGCGGATATATATATATATATATAGTGGGAATTTAGGCAAACAAATATGTTATTGAGATGGACAGGTCGAAAAATGGGTAAACAAATAATAATACAAAATGTGAATAATAAGAGATAATTTTGGCCGGTAATAAATATTAGATTGGGAAAGTCGGGGATCTCTTTAATTGAGATGACAGGTCAATTCTTATCATTTATTTATTTTTCGGAAAAGCTATTTTTGAATTTGTTATTTGTTTTGCGAATGCAGCACATACAAAGTCTCTTCAGAAATTCTGAGATAAATTCGAAAATTTGCCTTACATCATTATTATTAGAATAAATATAAGTTTAGACATTTTTATTAAGCAACAGATATTCCAAGCATTTATCAAAAACAACATATATCAGTGCCTTCAAAATTCTATCTCTTTATCTCTCATAAACACTCAATACTTTATCCGCACGAATCTCTATATACCCACTTATGATACTGATATCTTTTAAATCACCCCTAATCAATTCAGAACTCCTTTAATGGGAGAATATTATAAAATCAATCCCCTTATAAACAACAAATACATTATCTCCTTAATCCTCGAAAAATATTCAGCTCTGTCTCGGTTAAAGGGCATCTTCTGTATGGTTTAACTAGAATTTGTGAAACCGACAACCAGTGATGGGAAAACTTTTGCCTCATGAAATACGTTGGGGAACTGTTTACATAATGGTAAATAGAATGTGTGAAATTTTTGATTACGTGAATCAGGTTTATTTATAATTTGAATTAATGTTATCAAATTATATTTTAAGATATGTTTCACCAGAGACCTGCACCTATTGAAAGAGTGTTAGCTAAGTTATTGTTCCATCTTAACAGTTAAATACATACATGTATTATAAATGATTTTTTAATTATGACTTTATTTGTTAAAATTATAAATCTTTTCATATTCAAAAAAAATTAAAAATTTGGAACTAGAACTAGCTTGGAACTAGTTCCAGAACTGGAACTAAGGAATTTCAAAAATGGAGTTCCGGAACTGGAACTACAAAAATTAAAAGCCTGGTTCTGGAACTGGAGCTAAGAAAATTTAAAACCTAGTTCTGGAACTGGAACTAGTTCCAGAGAAATTTTGGAACTTTCCCATCACTGCCGACAACCCTAGTCAAGAGAAAAGGTCTCGTCAATAAACAAATAAAAGGGATCCCTCATCATTTTACATAAAATAAATTTTCAAATTAAAAATAGTTATTAAAATTTCACTAGACTCTATGTTTATATAGGTTCGAGGATTATTGAGATATGTATTTCAAAATTAATAAAAACATAATTTTATCAGGCTATAGTTAAATTTAAAATAAAACAATTTACGAATGAAAAGTGTTTAAAATAAAATTATAATCGGTTAAAATAAAAAAATATGGTACACACAGTGTACAAATTTTTAATAATTTTCAGTGTTTTTTTAGTTTTATAATTTTACAAATTTTTTGTGTTTGCAGATAGGGCTTGACTTGATCGGTTTTAAAAGCGAAACTTTTATATTTATTGCCAAAAACAACCATTTTATGAAATTTTAAAGACCTTTACTTTAATTTAAAAACTAAAATCAACACCGAAAACCGTGTTTTTAAAATCGAAAACTGGGGGTACTTGTAAAAACTATTTGTATTTAGCCCTAGTTAAAAAAAATAAATGGTTAAATCTTGTTAAATCAAAAATAATATTCCCTATTTAGAAATTGTTAAGATTTCGTTTTGTTTTAAAATTTTCGGAATTTTTGATTCAGATATATGTAGATTAGACAACAATTTTACATAGTTTATAAAAATATCAACTTATTTTTTTTTTAATTTTCATGTTTTCCTCTAACTAAATCGGTTAAAGTAGAAAGAAGAGACCACCTTTTTTACTGATCTATCAAGATTTAACTATATAACAAAATTTTTTACTCAGAATTGTGGATAATTTTAGTTTGTTTGGATTAAAAATTACTCTCAAAAATTTTAAAAATCAAAATAAATTACTTAAAATAATCCCAAATAATAACCCAATCCATAAAACTGAACAAAAAAAAATTTTTTTCAAAATTCAAGTCTTCTTTTTGCTCCCACCCTTAGACCATATTTTGTTAAACACTAAATTATTTAAATTAATTTTTTGAAATCCACAACTTTTTGATTAATTTTGTTTCAAAAGTATGAACCGTGGGGTTTTTTTATTGAACGTTTGGGATCTACTTTTTCCTCCCTCAGCGCCGCAAGTGAAAATTTTTGAAAATTCATGACTAAATTAATTTTTCTACAGTTTTTTCACGTTTACTAATATTAAAAGAACTTTAAAATTTTAAAATCAAAGTTAAAAAACATTTGTTCTTAAAGTGAAAAATTATTACACTCACGTTTCCCAATCCTGGATTCGAACCCAGCCCTATCGAAATATCAGTGTCTGAGATACTGTAAAGCATATAATTATTTAATTCCTAAGGCTATGCAGTAGGCAACATGGTGTAATGGCTAACACATCAGTCCGGACTACTGTAGATGCTGGTTCGCTCCCAGCCGCCGAATATTCTTTTGCACTAGCTAAAGGAAAGAAACAGCTATAGCCCAGCTGCTTTACTATACAGCGCCGCTCAATTACATTTACCGCCGCAGACTTAAAATTTTGAAATTTCCGAAGTCCAAGAGACCCAATTGTCGGTATACAAATTTCTAGCACTAAAATCTCATGATCCGCAAAATCCGTATCCGCAAGTTTCGAGTCCGCAAAGTTCGGCGCCCATATGAAACAAAATAACAAATCAACTGCATATACGCAGAAAAGCTTAAAATATTCAATTAACGTTAAAATGTTCAAAGGCATTTTTTATAAATTTTTTAAATGGTAGGCGCAAAAACAAGTATTTGCAGGATTTTAGAAGTTTAGTGATAAAAGTAAACATACATTTGACTATTGGGTGACGATTATCTGTGAGTTTAGGTGTAAGTTTTATCTCTCCTCGACAGTTTGGGCATGTACCCTTCTGATTAATCCTTAAATATTATTCCGTTAAAAGAAATTTAAAAATTTAAACTATACCATCGTGCAAGGCAGATACCATGATATACTACTTTCTTAAAATTACAAATTTAATTATTAATAAATTCAATATTTTAATAAACTTTGCATTTAGGACAGGAATAAACAAAATCGTTGATTTTTAATTCTTCTAGGCAAATAACACATTCTTCTTTTTCATTGTCTTCAATTTGTTTTGGATGATAATAAAATCCCTCTTCAACTAAACAAAATATATTTATTTTACTTTTTAAAATTCTTACAAATTGGAATATATTTGAAATATATCTGTTTTGGATTGAAACGTTTGTATAAATTATAAAACTTTTCAAAATCACTTGTATCGTCGTTGTGAGCGATACTAAAATAAATAAAAAGATTTATTAGTACCTATTTTATAAAAAAATTTTTTTAATAAAACTTTAGCCAAATTAGTATAATTGTAAGATCAACCTTTCATCCTTAGAAATTTGCAAACATTCATTAAGTTTATCAAAACCATTTGGATTACTTGTAAACCCATTCATAAGAAATGCTCGTTCCTCTTTTTCGGTTTTATTCGAATCCCAACGATAAACATAATATTTATCGTTGTATTTAATCAGATTTGAATGATTTATTTTTTCCTCCTCTGGAATTTCATGTCCAATTACATATTCTTCTCCATATTTTTCAAACAGAAATTCGGTTAAACAATTATGCAGATCGTCTAAAAATGTTATTTAACTAGTTTAATTTCCAAGCCGGCCAAGCCCAGAATGAAACTGGATATTTTTATAAGCCTGAAACATTCTCATGTCTAAGGGGCGCAATTATAAGGAAATCCATCTTTTTGCTGAACTAAAGTATTTTAGTGCTACGTTTTGTGAAAAATGTAGAAAGGACAAAAGAAAACTGTCCGGCTATGGGTAAGAAGTGTCTGCAAAGGTTAAGACCCCACACTTTTTCCTGATTATCTAACTATTTTGAGCTATTTTGTTTGATCTATAATCTATCCTATATCATTTGAAAGAGCTCTTCAAGCTCTGTCGAATGATAAGGTGTGTTAAGTAATTATATAACACATATATTTTTCTTTTTTCTCTGAGTTTTTTAAGGTTTATTTACTTGTAATTTACAATAGCTATTAAATGTAATTTTTACAATATATATCAATAATAGTTTAAGTTCATTTATCCGACAAAATTTTTTATTCAAATTTTTCAAAAAATAGTTGTTCCAGTTTTTGGACGAACCTCCCCCGGTATTGGAAATACTTTTCCCGTTGTTGGAACTACGTCTCCCACTGTTAATACAACATCCCCCGCTGATTATTATTTTATTATATATTTCTGTCATAAAATACTAATAATTTACCATAACACAAATACCATTTAATTAACATTTTGCCATAAAATAGATAGGTTTTTTACCTGGATTAGATCCTGATCCTTGTCCTTGGTTATGTTGTCCTTAATTTATATAAAAATAAATTATACATCGGCTATTTAAGCGGTCTATTGAAAAATATAGCAAAGGATTGGTAGATACATATATGCAAATTACGGGGAAATATAAAATTATTTAAAGTAAAATAAAAATTAATTTAGATAAATTGTTAGGTTACTTGATCTGTGATGATCGTCATGGAGTGACATCTCTTGTGCTTGTAACAACACTGAAATAAATTTTTAGAAAAAATTTATCAAAATATATTATTACTAGCTCGGTATTCTGCTTCATTTTGAGCAAATAAATGATCTGGAATTTTAGTAAATTTTTATGACAATTACTGAAAAGTATAATGTTTTTCATGAAATAAATTCTTTATTTTCTTTGATGGATACTAACTCTACACAACTCTAATCCCTTCTATATCACTTAAATGAAAATTTGGTGCCGTGTGATTTCGGCAGTATACTATTTATGCAGTGAGTAATATAGGCAGTGAGTGATTTAGGCAGTAAACGTTTTTATAAAATAATCTTTCCCTCAAAAATAATTAGAGTAATATTAAAAAAAGTAATTGTGAATAATCTGGACATGAAGAAGGATTAGGAGCATTTTGAGAGGACACTGCGAGATCTTTTTACGGGAATTATAAGTACTTATAATAATTGTGCTACCTGAGTTGATTCGTTGCTGTTGAGGTGAATATAAAGATAAATTACGGTTGTAATTTAAATGCAAATTTGACAAATTTTGAATATACTCTCGATCATAAGCCATTCTATTAATTGCGAGCATTCTTCTCCTATTATATGCCGACTCGCTTGTTCTATTTTGAGAACGGTTGTAACGATCATTTCTAGAACGGCTGAGGGAAGCATTAGATGATTCTGCATGATTTGAACCAAATTCATGATGATGTTGTTGAGGATTGTATGCATGAAATAGTTCATATCCATCATGACCAAAGTGAATTCTTCTACTTCCAGATTCCTCATCGGTGTCACTAGTTTCTGTGTCGGAATCTCGATAACGATCGTGACGATCATTTCGTGAACGGTTGTAGTGGTGTCTCCTACGGTTGTGGGAAGCATTAGATGTTTCTGCCTGATTTGATCCAAAATCATGATAATGTTCGTGAGGTTCACGATTTAGATCGAAACGATGAGTGTGGGCACGATCATGGGCATCCATTTCATCCTCATCGCTTGAACTTGAATCAACAACAAATGGTGTTAAAAATAAAAAAAGTAATAAAAACAATGGAGGCTTCATTACTTTCTGGAATTATTTTAAAATTATATTAAATGTACATATTTAAGTACACATTATTGACAGTTGAATAAAAAATATTTAAAAATTAAAAAAATAAATTTAAATTCACTAAAATAAAGTGTAAAGAAATATTACTTAGGTTGAAACAAAAATAAAGAGCCCCCTTGATTTAAACAGAAAAAGTAATAAAAATAATGAAGGCTTCATTACTTTCTGGAATTATTTAATTTTATTCATTAACATGAAGTGTATCTTTACAGTATAGATTTCCGGTAGTTAATAGTAGAGTTGCACGAGATCGAGATTTTAGAAAAAATCCGAGACCGAGATTGACCGAGATCTGCATGACCGAGACCGAGACCGAGATGCAAAATTTGACCCGAGACCGATATCGAGATCCGAGATAAACCGAGATTTTTCAAAACTTTTTTTATCCACCAAAACCCATTTAAATTAATTAAATATCACCTAAATCATCATCAAAATCATCTGTTTCATCAGAATCAATTTCAGTTGGTGGACCAAGCAACAGTTTATCCATATTTGCCTTTACAACTAGAATTTTTTCCACCATTTCTCCAGAAAGAATTAAATATAAAGGGTAGGGGACACTTGTTAATTAGAAGGGGTCGGTCTGATAGAGACAGTCGGTTTATTTTTCAACCTTCCTCTACGGGGTCAGTTTATTAGAAGGGGTCGGTCTATTAGAGACAGTCGCACTATTAGAAGAAATACGGTGTATATATGTCACCGTCCAAATTACATTCTTGTCCAAATTGAATTTGGCCGGCCAATTGGGGACTGAAACCCCAAATTTTGGATTTTTCTTCGTGTTCAAGGTTGGGTTGGGTTCCGTAATAGTTCTTCATGTTCGGGACCTACGTTTATTTGATCTGGGACCATTCCGGACCCTATTACTCGAAATTTCTGAAAGTTATAGCCGACTTTTAAAAATTTCAGAAAAAGATTATAACCTTAAGAAATTTCGAAGAATAGGGTAGGGAATGGTCCTAGGTAAGGAATGGTCGCGGCGACCGTAGCGAAGCGGCGGCCGTCGTTCCGCTCGACATGCCCGGCTTCCCCCGCAGCGGCAAAAACTTTTTTCCGCGAAGATTGATGTGTATTCGGCCGCGCTTATTTGTTCTGCTCCGCTCTCTAGACAACTAAATTAAAGTGAGCACAACAATATACCAATAGCGAAATTTTAAATATTTTGTCAAATAAAAATAAATCTCAAGAAGGTCAATCTTTAGGGGTGAATACTGATCTCGGATCTCGGCGAGATTAAGTGCCGAGAATCTCGTCTCGGTTAGGTGGTCTCGTCTCGGCAAAACCGAGACCGAGATTGGAAAATGGCCGAGATTCTCGTCTCGGTCTCGGTCGAGATATCGATCTCGTGCAACTCTAGTTAATAGTTGGGATCGAGCAATAATTTTTAAAGGAAATTCATAGGAAAGATCGGGTAATTTGTTATAGGGTTGTACCCCGAACGCTCGGGGCGGGTATGTCGGGGTACGGGGTTTTCCAATTGTTTCGGGGCGGGGTTCGGGTCGGGGGAGCAAAATATGGTCGGGGTTCGGGTCGGGGTACGGGGGTTTAGTTGAAAAATTTTTAGAGAAAAAAATGCTCAAAAATAATTAAAAATCGATATATTTTCGTTGAATTATTCAAAAATTAAGTAGGATTTGAAGAAATTAGAGGGGATTTGAAGGGATTAAAGTGTATAATTTGGGATATAAGTGAACCTGGAGGGATTAAGTGGGATTTTTAGGGATTAAATGGTATATCTAGAGATACAAGGTGATCTGGAGTGCTTTTTGTTGGTTCAAGGGATATTAGTGATTTATAAGGATATTGATGTATTGCAGATAAGGGTCCTTAAATCTCCCACGAACTCCTTGTTAATTCCGTTATTTCACATAATCCTTTAAATCCATTTTAATCTAAACCTTATATCCCTTTAAATCCCTTTATAACTCCTTAATTCTTCGATATCCTACAAATCTGTTTATATCTCTGATTCCCGTTAACAGGACCTCGATAGTTTTCCAAATGTTTTGGTTGAGAACTGGTGATACAGGGAGTTTGAATGATTAAGGGTGGTTCAAGGGATATCAG